ATATTCACATTGTTGACAAATATATATTTTTGGCTTACAAAGTCTCTTATAATCTCTTGTATGACAATTTTTGCATAGAACCCACAAATGTTTGTATTTTCAAAAGGACTACTAGTTTTTAGTTATATCACAAATTTGAGAATGAAGATAAGAGTCAATACAACTATTAATGTGATTATTCCAACCATAGTATTATACAAGGATTATAGTGCAAATTGTCACTTTTAGATATATTATTCATATAACTAGGATTATGATAACTATCAAAAGCACTACTACAAAACAAATAAAAAGAACTACTCAACCAAGAATGATCATTTTCAGTCTCAAAAATTGATTTTCAATATCAAAATATATCAAATAACTCTCCCAATTACTATCCCTAATTAAAAGGGTGTAATTAGAAATGAAATTCTGAATATTTTTTATATGAATTAAATTATTAACATTACCATAATAATTAGAACTTCTACTCAAGCTCCAGTTTTTATTTGTATCCTTTCTAACTGGGTCTTCACTTACACTATTAGTATTTTCAAGAGGACTAACTCTATCCATAGATTTACTTAGTCGACATCTATATTCTAATTCTTCCTTAGCCAACATGAAATTAAATCATGATTTGTCCGTCAAGTTTACCCCTTTCCTTTAAAATTCCTCTTACAATAGATGAATAGTCATTCGATGAAAAATCAATTAACTATCTCTTTTCCTATTTGAAATGCCATCTAGATGCAATCATTTGGATTATTAATTTACAATGAGTTAAATATATATATATATATATATATAAGGATTTTCTTTTTTGAGAACTTGGAGCATCTATTCATAAACCAAATCATACATAGGAAGCATAGGATGAATTGTGGACCCAACACAATAATAGCCAATTTGGGTTGTGTTTAGTTTTTTTTTTTCTAAGTTCTTTTATCGTAGAGAAATATGTATCTATCCAAAAGAAAATAGACATAATATGATAGTGTATTATTGTATCTATTGTTGAAATTTCGAGTCATGGTCAGTTACACTTCATTTTATCACTTAATGCAAATAGACAACGATGATAATTTTGTTTACAATAGCAAGAAATTACAACTGGAACATGGTAGGTTTTAATAGTCACTAAGCCAATCCAAAGAGTTTGTTTTTCTTACGAAATAAAAACAAGCTTAAATCAATTCCAACTTTTGGCTAGCTTAAAAGACCAAGAAGCTTTCATTCATGCTTTTTCTTAATTAACAAGTGAAACCCATTAAAGTGAGAAAATTTTTTGAAGCATAGCATCTAAATTCAATTTATTTGGAATCAAAATTTATAAGCTACAAAAGCAAATTAGCAAGTGTTTAGAAAATCTTAACAAAATTAACAAAGAAAATCACAAATTGAGAAGCTTTACTTCATTCTAAGGTGGATATTTATAATTTAACAAAATCCATAAAACTGAGAAAAAGCTAATTTAGATTTCACAAAAATAAAGAAAATCAACGTAAAAAATAATGCAATCTTATTATATTATCTATTAAAAACTAAAAATTATAAACCTAAATTTGATAGTTGCACCATATCATAATCAAATGTGTCAATTTTTTTAGCTTCAGTTTGTTCTTTTTTATAAGAATGCACCAAAATACATCATATATGATTCGTCATTCAGCAAAAGTTTAAATCAAAATCCAAACAAGAATCTAGAACAAACAGATTAAATCAATACAAAATCAAACACATCAAGCTCTAATTTGTTTCAATCATTAGCAACTGTTTAGCAAAATTGCAAAATCAAACACATAAACTTGGATTTGGGACAAAATATTTAAAACTTATCTAAAAAATGATTTCTCTTCCATCACATATCACAACACCTAAAAATAAATCTAGAAGCACACTTTAGAAGTAGAGAAGGAAACAAAATAGAAAATGCAAAAAAAGATAAATAATGGCCAATATTACCTAATGATTTTCTTTCAACAAATCTTTCACAAAGGCATACCATTCCCTTACTTTAAACCCCAAAATATGTCAAGCCGTTAAGGGGTGGCCATGACATTTGTTGCTACCTAAACACAATTATTGTGAGTAAGATCCATATTGTTTAAGTCATCCATCACACACCTTTAATATTCATAATTATTATTGTTGGTAATGTTACCTATGGTAGCCTTAATAGATTCACCAAGTTTGTCCACTTGTGGACTAGATCTATTTAAAGCATCAAAGAGCTCATCACCCAAATCACTTAGTTGTTGCTAACTTCTCACCAATCCATGCCTTCTTTCTTGCTGAAGTATTTTCTAAACTTTACCCTTAATTTATTGAACTTCCTTCAACCTCATGGTTATTTTCAGCTTGACTAGCTTGCTCCTCTCTATCTCCTTTAGCTCTCGAATTTACCATAGTGATAAAATTTTGATCATTAGCACGGTCATTCCCAAATATTCCTAAACCCTTTTGCTCTTGGCACCCTCTAGAATAAAAAGCCAATAAATATAAATATTAGATAAATGCAAATAATAATATGTAAACAATTAGATTATAAATGAGCAAATATTTCAAGTTCAAAGAAATAACAATATGCAAATAACTCTTTTCTTGAATCATATAAAAAAGCAAATAGTTTTTTAAACCTAGAATTTCTAGCATAACCCACTTACTAGTGCAAACACATTCCAAGTTCAAGAAAATTTTAAGTTCTGGCTATTCACACAATAACAAATGTGTACTACAAATCAAGCATTTGGAGTATGCTCAATGATTTCACAAAGCATGGTGCTAAGAAATATGATTAAAAACATGAAATATGCTCAGAGACTTTACAAAGCATGAACATTAGCTTAGGTTAGTCTAGATGTATGATCAATAACTATCCAAATGAAACAAGATAAATAAAGACTAATAAAATTCAAGTCATGGAAACTAAACAAGGGAAACAAATAATATAGCAAAAAATACTATTAACGAACTTGTCTCAACAAGAAAATATAGTAACTAACATGAGATGCATGTCAATAGCTTAAAAACAAAGTATTGCACGACCACACATTAGAATTTAATTAGATAAAACAAAATTATTAAGAAAGCAGATAAGCAAATTGATTACCTTAACATAGGAATGTCAAGCCTTGTCTAAATCACATTCCACACACTTTGCAACTTTATTCCAACTAAATCCACTTAGATTTAACATTTTTATCACCAAATGATGTTGAATCTTAAGTTGAGTTTTTTCATTGTCAATGCCATATGGGAATCAACTTTTAGTCCATAATTTGGGAAAATCTCATTCAATTTTTCCTCAATATCTTTTGCTGTTCCTGACTTGAACTAACCATTATTGTTTTATCATATTTACAGACAAGTTCTTCCAAACAATCAAAAAGTGCTAATATTTCTTCATTGGTCCAAATTCTACAATCTTTCTTGTCCCCACTCACTACTTTATCACTAATAGCATCCATACTTATACAATTGAAAATCCAAAATAATAATAATAATAATGATAAAAGAAAAAAAAATGAAACTAGTGTAAGGAAGCATGAAAAAAACATCTCTAACATCCCAAGACAATTAAAGGCAAGAAAAAAAGCTATAATAACACATTCATAGTATCAATCATTATAAATGAAAATTATTATGCTGGTAACTAGAATTCTATTTAATCAAAAATAATACAAGATAATTAATGAAAATTCTATTATAAAAGAAAAAGAATACATAATTGTCTAGATTAATAATTACAAAACTAAAACCATAATTGCTAACACAAACCAAACATAGAAATTAATTAAAATCAAAGTCATTACAAATCTAAAGTCTAGCGAAAACACTGCAAACTAGATATGATGCCTATTTCATTCATTCATTATACATCTCTTAAGCCAAATTGTCTCTTCAAGTGTTCCACTCATTGGTTGATTCAACAGAAGCAATATTTTGTATTGGCTCCATCTAGACACTTGGTTCAACTTGGTCCAATAAGTGTTCAAAATGATCATAAGGCATTTCTCTCATAATGAAGTTGTATAAAAACAAATAAGGATTATCAAAGTTTGAGTTTTAATAAGATAAAATTATGTATGTCTAAAAATTGCCCAACGCATCTTCAATAACCCAAATACCCTCTTAATTAAATTCCTTACTTTCGCATGTTGCAAGTTAAACAACTCTCAGGGATTGAAGTTGTGAAACTTAGCCTCTATTGACTCAAATGGTACTGTTATACCCTAAAAGCAAGTCCTATAATAATTAGGACACGTGTAGACAATCTAGAAATAGTCCTATTAAGGATAGAATAAATCCTGATAGGATAAGAATACCCAAACACCAATTAAAACAAAATTGTATTTCTAGAATAACTGTATTTAAACATCCTATAAATACCTCTAGGATCAACCTAAGGAGGTAGATTATTTTTCCACCATTATGCTCTCTTAGACCTGGCAAACGGGCGGGTTGGGTCGGGTTAGGGTCGGGTCAACTCGGGTGACGGGTTAGACGGGTTGGGTTATAAACGGGTTGCGGGTTGG